TTAAGAGCCTTAAATTGGAAAAGTATTGCACAGAAAAAACTAAAAATATGTTTCAATTATCAAATTAATTGTATCAAGCAAGTTTTGCACCTATCACCAAAATGATGATATCAATTATTAAATTTGTAAATAAAATTAAAAAAATACTTTTTTTCCAAATAACGAATTAATCAGAACAATTAATATCAATAATTGAGACAAAATTTAAAATTGATTAATTCATTAATTGTATAAATTAAATATTTAATAAAAATAAAATCTAATTTTTATTAATTTATTAATCAAATGAATTAGTTTGTTTGGTAGAAAATGTTTTAAAAACCAATTAAGTTGATGATTAAAACAATCAAATTATTAATTGATTACTCACAATGTTAAAGGAATGCTTGACCTTTAACAATGCGTTGAGCATTTACAAAAAATATCACTTTATTATCAAATTTGAACATATAAAGTGTTTTATAAATTGTCAGGAAACTTGAATATTATATGCCTAAAATCGTATTTACTATTTAAGAATTATAAACATTGTTAGCATAAGAAATCAAAATAAAATATTTAAAAAAAAAAAACTAAAATAGAAAAGTTGGCCAGAAAATTTTTTTCAATCAATTAAAAAACTAATTGAATCAATTAAAAATTTAATCAAATTTGTAAACTTAGGTTTTAAACAACGAGATAATTAAGACAAATAAAAAATTGCTTAAATTAAAATTAAAGAAAGAGAAAAACATGTTAATTGAAAATAAACTACTGATAATTTTTTCTGTGTGGTTTGAGTAGTGAACACAAAATGGTTATAACTCGATCAGTTTATACGATTTCCCGATATGATCACATGTTTATAACTCATAGCTATCATTTTTATAAATCTGTCAATTGACGACGACGCAATCGAAAACTTGAAATCATTCTAACAATCCACATTCTTAAATTACTTTATGTTACCAATCTCTTGATAAACTTTATAAATCTATAATATTAAACCTAAAAAGAAGGGTATAAGAAAGATTGTGAGAAGATCTACAATGAATCACGCCCAATCATCTAAAGACAGACAGACATTCAGTCAGCCAAACAATTTATTGTTGGCATAAGGATAGTTACAAACAAACACAAAAAAAATTTAGAGGGACGGACATAATGATGGGGGCAAATATTTTTCTTGAATATTGCCTGAACTCTTAGTATGAACGTATGTAAGTAGTGAATTGATATTTTATTAAGCATGTTTTATATATATTTTTATATAAAGATAATTGTATCTTCCGTTTCATTATATGTTACACACATGGCTATTAGATATTTTATCTTTAAGTACAACAATGAACAACAACAAGCAACAAAAAAATTTCATAATTTTTTTTTCGCAAAGCCTGAGGTTTTTCAAAAGAGAGTGAAACTTTATGGAGTGTATGTTGAAAATATTTTATATAGATTGAATAAGTGTTGTCAATGTGATTATTGGAAGTAAAAAAGTTCATTGTTATTGGTCACACATTTGAAATAAATGAAACAGTCTTGATTTTAGTTCTAAATATGAGACCAAAAGCCTATTCGATAGCTTTCGTATCAAAATATCAAAAAATATCAAAAACACATTTCGATACTGAAATTAAGCAAGTGATATGTCGATTCATATTAATGAATATTTCCAAAAGATCATAATCGTACATAAAAAGATCGTTTCTGACAGATTTTGAGGTAGTGCTACATTTCAGCCAATCTCTAATCTTTGATAGGTATACCAATCAAAGATGAAATAACGTTGTTATAAGAACATCGTTTCTTCCTGAACAAGTTTTGTATAGATCACATGGGAGTCATGATTAAATTATCGTTACTTTATATTCGAAGATTTGACGATGGTATCCCAAAGTAAACTGAATTCTGATTATTAATAGCTAAGTTCTTCTAAGTTGATATACTTTCGAGGAAAACTGAACCCTGATCACAAATCGGTAAGACTTTCATTGAAACAGTTAATTACAGATCATATACTTAAGTATAAAATGATCGAATTGAAATCATACAGATTAATAATTTCTAAAATATTTTGAGGTTAATGAAGATCTTTATTATTTTTGTTGAAAGAAATACGAATACTGATCATTGATCTATATCTGCTACACTTTATCTAGAATTTGGTCTAGTCTGTAGCGAATTATATTTGAACAAAAATTCTTGGATTGATCTTGAAACTAACGGTTCAATAACTCATTGAAAACTTTTGTTACTCTCGCGACTTGAATAGTTGATCTTGAGCAATGATTTTTGAACTAAAATTTTTAACTGATATTTATGGATCAACATAAGTTTTGAGAAGTTGTTAAAGAACTTTTGTTTATTCTATATAGAGCAATTAAATTTGGATTCGTTTAATGTATCAAATTTTAACTTTATCAGCTTTTTGTTCAATGGTTTGATTTCCTGTTTCTTAAAACATATATTTTGAATTTCCTCCGATGACATTTCAAAGTAAACTACATTCTGATCATTGATCAACGAGACCTTTATTACCTCGAGAATTATGAACTTTGCATTCATCGGGATGTCAGCAAACGAGTAAGTTATGAGGACTGAACTCTAGGTTGTAGTATGGTCGTAAAAGCTCTTACGATGATCCCAAGAGAAATTGAATAATGATCAGCATGATGTTGATCTCCCGAATTGTCAGAAATGAACAGAAGAAGTGAAATAGTGTTATTTACTTACGTTATGAGAAGAGTTTACTCTTTTCTTGTATGGTCGTATTAGTTCATACAATAATCTCAAAAGAAATCTAACATTGATCAGCAAGATCTTCGTTACTTAGTGAAATTATTTACAGATCACGAAGAACGTTTCTAATGGGTTTAGAAGCAGAGGAAAAATGAAGTTATCTATGATGAAGTATCTTCGATGGCATTCCAAAGAAACTGGAAGAAAACCGGAATCTGTGATCGGTACAACTTTGGTTACTTCGTAAAGAAATATTAATATAGAATTGTTTAGCATGTGTTGATGTATGTTCCAAATTTCAGACTGTTAGCGGCTTTTTGACTTATTGATTAAATATTATTTAAGGTTGTTGTTTTCTGAAGCATTAGGGGCCAAATAGCTTGGTAGGTCCCTTGAAAATCAAATTAAAGTTGTGTAAGGATACATAGTTCAAAAGTTCGGTTATCAATCCTAAATTAGTCGATTAACACAATGAGAAACAGTTTTCTGTGGCATCAAAGAAACTTGATTCGTGAATTTTGAACGTTCAATATCTCTGCATAAATTATATTGACATATCTACCTATATGACTTATGTTGTATGTAAGCTACTTCAGCTGCTGCGTGAGCTTGGTTTCCTTATCAGGATCGTTTGTATTAGTCCTAGTCTTGTCAAAGATATTCCAAACTAAATTGCAAAAGTTTTAATGAGAGGAAATGCAAACAACAAATCTGTCCTATACTCGGTTTATATAAGACCCTGGATATGATAATGACAGGATTGACACAGACTTATACATATTTTCAAAAAATTACTGTAAAGGCATTATTTAGTAATGATTTAAGTGTTCAGCGTTTTTAGCTTCTATCGAAACCTCGCTAAATTAGCCATGTTGCTTTTAAGTTTATTTATCAACAACACTTGTACTCTCTTGCAGTTTAAGACCCCCATTTTATAAAAAAAAAACACAAGAGAATTAAAAATTTTCTTGGCATTCTCAAGATTAAGCGGGGTGACCACAATATTATAAAGCTTACTTGGTATTTTGGTTGTTGTCATTAAAAAAAAAAACTCGTTACAAAACGGGGGGAAGAGAGGGAGATAAGAAGAGAAAATTGTGGTGTATATGCTCAACAGTGTGACTTACTTTTTATGTGGTATGTTTGGATGTATAATAGGGTAAAAGCGATGGTGTTTGGTAACGCCCCTTTAAATACAGTTATTTCATTGGGCGCAACCACGAAAAAAATTAAAAGAATTATATTTTTATATTTATAATACGATAATATTTAAGAAGATTTAATAAATAAATTTTGAAAATGCTTGGTGGCATGCTTGAAAGCATGACTTTGATTTTCTTTTGGGATTTCTTTTTTTTTTGGTGGACAAAAAGGATAACACAAAATATTTATTAGTATTTCCGTTTTAAATAATTTCCGTAAAAATTTTAAATTTCATGGTATTTTCCTAAGGTATTTATTTATTATAAAAGGCTTTTAACACAAATATTTTCTAATAATTTTTTTATTGAAATTCTTTTAAAATTTAATGAAGGGGAGTAAACCTTAGTAAGTAGTGTGCTCTTGGGTGAAGGTTATAAAGGAGAGCATAGTAACAATAACCCAAAAAAAAAATCCTTTTGAACAAAAAAAAAAAATATAGAAACAAAAAAACTTAAAGAGTGCGTGAGCATCCTTTAGGGATAAAAACATACACACGTTGGCTCACTTATACAGTCACACATATACTCGATTTAAGCAGAGACAAATATGAATGTTAGAAAGAGATGCTAAATATATTTGTACAATACAAATACTGGCTCTTACTCCAAATTCAAACAACAAAAAAACATTTTCTTTTGTATTTATTGTTTTGTTGGTTTTGTTTTTGCTTTTTCTCTTGCTGCTGCTTCTTCTGGTTTCTTGTATTTTCATAGTTTTTTTTTTTCTACCTACCTAAGCACACGCGTGCTTATATCCTGCGGCTAGGTTAGACTAGAAAGACGAGATACTTTTGTGTATTGCCATCTCTTTCTTTTGCTTGGCAACACTCATTGTTTTTGTATGCTCTATAGTTATATTATTATAAAATGCGCAGCTCTTTGCTTTTAACCTCACACTCTCTGCTTTGCCTTCCTCATCTACACACCACCACTCACTCCATCTATCTATCCATCCATACTCTAAGTTTTACATTCGTCAGATACACACAACTACAGAAACGATTTTAGTATATGATTCGTAATTCGTACGTTAAACATTTCTCTCGCTGCGTTTTAACATTCAGTCGGCATCGATAATTACCGGTGGACGTATCGTGGACGTCGTTAATGTGTTTGGAACAAAAAAAAAAAAAAAACTTAAACAGATCTTTTAAGAAAAAAAGAAGAAACTTAACTATATGCTTTAAGTGCTGCCAGCCACTGTTGCCACATTATTGGAAATTATTATCATTATTATCGGCAATGAAATTATTTTGTGCAGTAGTTCGTTCTTCACTCAAATCATAAGTGACTCCTGCAATTAAGTTGCTAAAGCTACAAACACGTATAAAACCCAAGAAAAACCTTTAGTTTTAACTTTTTTGTGTAAAATTGAACGATTATAGTAATTATAGTACGAATATATAAACAAAAACAAGTGTAACAAAAACGTTTAAAACAACAAAATAAATAAACGAAGAAAAAAGTTTTTAAGCTATAAAACTACAAAAAAAGTGAAGTGAAAAGAATTTGTGCCATATTAACAATTCCAAAAAGAAAAATTAATAGACATGTTTGGTTTATAATTATATAAATAAAATAACTTAAACTTTAACCTTTTACAACTATTAAAAAAATACCAGTGTTTAACCAACTCAAAAAAAAAAAATTCTACAAACATCTTCAAAATGATTGACTCAGCGTGTAATTACTTAAATCCTTATGCCACAGCTTCCTTGGCTGCCTCCTCCACACAATCATCAGCCTCATCCACATCAACTGGCTCACTGACAAATCTCAATGAGTTTTCGCCATCTGCTGCTGCCGCTTCGGTTTTATATAACAGTAAATCAGTGTCATCTTCTTCGTTAACAGCCTGCAATCCCATGAAATTGGAAATGCAATATCCGCCACAATCATCATCATCTACGGGTTCGGCTTCGCCCAACTCGAGCATACAGTCGGCACCATCATCAGCCTCAGTGTCACCTAGCATCTTTCCCTCACCCGCCCAGTCATTTGCCTCAATTTCCTCCAGTCCGCCTGCTTCGGCCACCTCAGCATCACCCTTATCCGGCTCACATACAGAATTGGGTGCGGCTGCTGCTGCCTCGGCTGCTTACACATGGAATACGGCTGCCTATACAGCTGCATTGCCAACAAGGTATGTATTTTTTTGTATTTGTTGCAAAATGCACTTAATTGTGTGACATCCTTCCAATCGTAGGAAAGGGATGTTTAGTTTAGTGTAGTTAAGCTTTGCTTAACTTTTCCGTTTCCTTTTTAAAGTTGTCATATCATACTAATTTGAATTTTCCTTTTTTTTGCTTTTCTTTTTAGAACACAATTTCCTTATGCTCAATATGCCTCAGATTATTATGGCAATGCTGTTGGTATGTCGGCTGCTTCAGCTGCTGCGGGTGCTTGGTTTTCGCATCAGGATCGTTTGTATCAGCCCTGGTCTGGTCAAACTTATCCCAGTTTTAATTTCGATGATATTGCTTTCCAAACTCAATTGCAAAGACGTTCCGTACGCTGCACTTGCCCCAATTGTACCAATGAAATGTCGGGTCTACCACCAATTGTGGGACCCGATGAGAGAGGTCGCAAACAGCACATATGCCATATACCTGGCTGTGAACGTTTATATGGCAAAGCTTCGCATTTGAAAACTCATTTACGTTGGCATACCGGAGAACGTCCTTTCTTGTGTTTAACCTGCGGCAAACGTTTCTCACGTTCCGATGAATTGCAACGTCATGGACGTACTCATACCAATTACCGTCCCTATGCTTGCCCCATTTGCTCCAAGAAATTCTCACGCAGTGACCATTTGAGCAAGCACAAGAAGACCCACTTTAAGGATAAGAAAAGCAAAAAGGCCATAGCCGCTGAGGCTAAAGAACAGGCGGCTGCTATTAAGCAAGAAAAGACTTTGGAACAACAGCAACAACCGGAAAAAACCAGTCCAGCTAAGTCACCCAATATGGCCAATGGTATGCCAAATACTCCCACTGCCTCAGCAGCCACCACCGTCAAAAGTCCCTTATCCCTTAACTCACGTTTGAATAACAATGTCAACAATCCAAATCCTCAACAACAACAGCAGCAGCAGCAACAACAATCTGTTGTACCTCAACTACAGCTGAAAACGGAACAAACTGAAATCGCCTCAAATTATACACCCTACAGCAATTTATATCATCAAACCTCGACATTGTTCCAGCCCCATTTGACATCGCCAACAAGTTATGGAACAACAAATCCAGCTAACGCTAGTGTACAACAAACACCACCACCTACCTTCGATTTGTGGAATACTCAACAACAGCAACCGACTAGAAGTGCCATGGAACAGCAAACAACCAATAACAGCAACAATGCAACAGCCACAACCGTAGCTACCTCAAATAATGGACATAATTTAACACAATCTCCAAATATGCAGACGCAACAACAAGCAACTCAATCGCAACAACAGCAACAACATTCCCAAACATCGCAACATTACAATGCCTTGGCCATGCAAAGTGAATCACAATTAGCCGCCGAATATGGCATAACCATGTCTTCACCTCACACCAACAATGGCAACACATCACCTATTTCCCATCATCATCCTCACTCTTATTCCCATTCGCATCATCATCACATGCAACATCATATGCAACATTCCTCTACCTATTCCAATTTAATAGGACAAATGAAATCGGAATATCCTGCATATGCTGACTTCTCTACCACTTCAACATATCCCACACCCACTTCAGCTTTCCATCATCATCCTCATAATCCTTGGGCTGCAGCGGCTGCCTATCAACATCCTCATCATGCCACTGCTTAAACTCAAGGATATTCCGTAGGAAATGTTTAAAAAACGGTTGACCGTTTTCTCCACATTCAACATCCTAAGGAAGTGTTGTGTTTGTTTTGAATTTTGTAGATTTTTTTTTATTGTTGCCTAATTGTGTAATTTCTTTTTTCCATTAATTAATTTCATTATTAGTTGCTTTAATTGTAGAATTTGTTGTTGGTTTTTATACCAATTCTTTTATTATAATTTGTATTTTTGAATACATTTTGTATTTAATTGTATTTAAATTTAACATTTAAACCCATTTAAACTCGTTGTAAATAGCTTCTATTCAATAGTTTTCTAGTTTTAAGCTTTAAAATTGTATATAAATTGACACAACAAAAGATTTTCATCACTCATATAAAAATATAATAGAAATAATAATTAATATATAATATTTAGCTACATAATACTTAATAATACTCTTGTTATGTTCATACAAATAAAACAAAACTATCTTTAAGATATTAAACAAATTATAAATTAAACAAAATAAAAAAAAAACAACAAACAAAAATAACAATAAAACGAAAAAAATTATAAAACAAATACTTTTGGAGTTTTTTATTAAAAAAGGATTAATTTGGGAACAGAATTTAAAAATTAAATTTTTATCTAACTCTTAAATGAATTCTAACGGCTGTATTTATAAAAACTTATTTTAGGTTTATTAAACAATTTTAGGCAAAATTCAGGAAAATCGTATTTATAAACGTGAAATAGCTTAAAACACCTTCAATAAAACATTGACAATTAGAATAATTTTATTGTAGGCTCGACCCTTCTTTAAGCCAACAATAACTTGATTTTTAACAATTTTTTTCTCAGATGAAGATTTTTTCGGTAATTTTAGGTTGATTGCGAAAAGTAATTATGGTTTCTTTTAAAATAAAATCTAAAAATTCTAATTTTAACGTTTACAAATTTGTAAATAAAATCCCAGAAAATTTTTAAACGATTATATTTTGAGGAAAAAACTCAAATCTAGGCATTATTGGATTAATGCATGAATATTTGACAATATTCCAATTGTCCAGCACTATTTTTAGGCAATTTGGAAATGCCCGTCTGTCAACCAAATGATGGACAAAATCATTTGATTTGGCTTTTTCAAAGTTTGTTGGTTAAATATAGTGCCATAAAGTAATTAACCATGTAAAATATATTGATTAGTGTTATACTAATGCAAAATATATTCGCCGGCATTAAAATTAGTCAAATATCAAAGAAATTTATCAATATTTGCAAAAATTTATCAAAAATTACAAGGAAAATAAGTAAAAATAAGAAAATGTGTCATAGTGATGTATATTTTGTCGCAAAATATCCGTTATTCGGATACTATTAATAATAATTAGAAATTATATGTTATATTTATACATCGGAACTAAATAGACATTTATTAAAGCCATATATATATTTATTTTTCTTAAAAGTTTGTTTTTATTGTCAAAAATATATTATAAACAAAAATATGAAATTAAGAAAACCGAATCAACGAATATTTTATCCTAATTGTACGCAACACTAACACATAAAATGACAGCCATATTGTACAGTGCTGCCAACTTAAACATAAATCAGCACAATAGTTAATATACGTTTATTATTTGTTTATGAATATCACAATTTTATTAATGGTTTTTAAGGCTAAAGTGTGCTTTAACTATTGAGTGCATTAAAAGCAAAATAAGATTTTTTTATAAATACAAGCGTAAGTGTTTAGTGTTTATAAAAAACCGACTTTTGGAAAAACCGGTTTTTCGGTTAACCGAAAATTAACCATTTCTTAAAAACCGGTTTGTCGGTTAACCGAGTACAAAAAAACCGGTTAAACCGGTTAACCAAAATGTTTGGAAATCTTTAAAATATTATAATATTTAGTTGAAAAATTTCATTTTGCGAAATATTATGAATTACTTAATAAGATATTTGCACTTTTTAGTATAAATATGTACATTTATATATCATAAGAAAGCAAACTTATACAGATCTGAAGTTATTATTGATTCGTCAGGTATATGGAAGTTGCCATAGGAGGAATAAATTGACCTTTGAATATATAATACATCTATATCAATAAAAAATTTTATGTCCAACACTGGTATAAATAGTGTTCAGGCTCGCGACGATTCATCGGGAAAGGAAGTAGACGACGACTGTCTCGACATAGACATTGAGCCACTGCTTTAATTGTGACCACCCTCCGCTCGCTACGCCTGTGGTTGTTCAAATTACTGTGAATGACACTTAGGAATATTGACAGGTGTCTTTACTTACTTCCTGATAATCAACCTAAGCGCCATTACAGTTTGTAAAAAACCCCAGCAGCATAAATTCTCGGACAGCGACAATTACCCTTATGTTTCGATAAATAAAATCCGTTTTGAGAACGTTTGACAAACTTCTCGATTTTTATTATACTCACGCAGTAAACAAGGAAGTGCATTTTATAATCAACGTTATTTATTCGTCTTAATAAGTAACAAATTTCTTCATATAATGGTTGGAATTTGTTTAAATACTTAATTTTTTATTGGTTTAAATGCCAACTTTTTACTAATTTACTGATTGTCTGAAATTGTAAATCTCAATTTTATATGCATAGTATATGTTTAACATTTCCTAACATTTGTTTAACAATCTCAACTATCCAAAATTTTTAAAAATCACAATAAAAAATCAAAGAAAACATACAATTTTGTACTAAAAATTAGATTTTTTTGAAATCGGTTAACCGAGACTTAAAAACCGGATAACCCGGTTAACCGAAAACTAATGTTTTAAAAAAACCGGTTTGCGAAAAACCGAAATATGCAATAAAAACCGGTTCTTCGGTTAACCGGTTAACCGGTTTATAAACACTATAAGTGTTTAAAGTGACTTCAAAAATCTAGCAAAATCAGTCGAAATTATAACTACGAAATTGAAACATTAGGTACGATTTCTAGGAGTTCCTATAAGAGCAGACGTGCATTAACTGAATGTGCAGACAAAAATTTTAACATGCTATTCAAGCAAATAATTCTCATTTAGTTAAAAAGAGTTTTCACATCACTTCTCTGTCTGTAATGGACTCAGCTTCTTAAAAATGTGTAGTATATGAGGTATTTTATCTGATTAAGTTGAATAGAAACTCTGTTATTTTCTGGCTACAACCTCAGGAAAATTTTATCAGTTCCACAACAACTTCGCATGATTATAGCCTGAAATCTCCCTATTTTGGCATTGTTGGTTTTTTAGAACTGTTCTGGAACCAGTTTTTGTTACTCTTAGATCTAGTTCTAGGAAAAATTTAGATAATACATATATACAATGGCTATTACTTCTTTCATATTTTTGCAAATATCAAAATGGCCCTGTTATACAAGCCCAAATTTCCTGTCAATCGGGGAGTTCTGGTTTTGATTCCCATCAGAGACTCTGGTCTGATACCTGCGGCAAACGTTTCTGACGTTCCGATGAGTTGCAACTATGCTTGCCCCATTTGCTCCATGAAATTCTCACGCAGTGACCATTTGAGCAAGCACAAGAAGACTCACTTTAAGGATAAGAAAAGCAAAAAGGTCATAGATGCTGAGGCTAAAGAACAGACGGCTGTTATTAAACAAGAAAAGTCTTTGGAACAACAGCAACAACCGGAAAAAATAGACCCGCTAAGTCACCCAATAAGGCTAATGGTATGCCAAATACCATTAGCCACCACCGTCAAAAGTCCCTTATTCCTCAACTCCCGTTTGAGTAACAACTACAACAGACGTATTATTTTGCGATCGTACACTTTCTTTAGAAAAGATTTGAAAGTAGTTCTTTTTCAGCAATCATCATTTGAAGTTGAGAAATAATCAATGAATTCTCATGGACTCAATTATATTTAGAAAACTTGCTAATATCGAGGTATCTTGAAATCCACAATTTTTCGTTTAAAGATTTTTCTCAAAGGATTTCGGCCTTTTGGTTAAAATGCTAAAGTACTTTGGAATCACAATCATATTCCATAGATGGGGTTCCAAAAGTAATACCAACATAAGTAGTTCCAAGGTTGTTTTCAAGAATTTGAAGTGTTTACATATGCAACCATTTTTCTTCTATAACCGATCCATTTCATCAATAACTAATTGTGTGGCTAGTTTCGTGTCCAAAATAAGGTTAAAGATCAGCTTCTTCAAACTTTGTCGGTCTAACCAAATAATATTTAGTTTATATCTCTTGTAAATCGATATTGGAATGTATCGATGGAAAACTAAAAGTAAAGTAATCATTGCATTGCAGAGGATAAGTTTAAGATCATTGATCGTTAAATGAGACAACTAGGAAATAGAGGCAATTGAGATATTATTCACTACTTTATCAGAAAACAGAGCCTACGTAGATCGTTATCCCTATCTCCAATGATGTTTCTTTAGGTATATTTTTTAGTTTATAATTTCTTTTGAAAGGAAGCATATTTAATAATTTTGTTTAAAGGATCTTTCATGGATAATGTTGGTAATATATGTATGTAAACCTTATATATTGCTCACTGAAGGGATTATCGTCCAATTTTCAGAAACCCAGTTTCTTGAACGTTCCTAAGATATTTGTATCTAATTTCAAAGAAATCTAGGCAATAACAAAGAAAGTATTCCAGACTTTCATTATCCTCTCTGTCCATTCCTTACATGTTTGTACTGTTGTGCCCGTAATCCGAGTCATTGCTCATTCTGGTGAGGTTTTTTTCTAGCTCACTTCTGATAATTTAAATAATTTTATTATCAAATTATTTTTATTACGCTACATACTTTCTTTACAACAATAAAAAAGTTTGAATAAATTTAAATAATTAGTAGACACAATAAAAATATTTAAATATTAAGGTCGAATTTGTAATACCCTGAAGAAAATAAAATAAAAACTATACAGAATAACTTTTTCGTTACAGATATCATGTGGAGAATAAATTCTACTAGAAATGTAAGCAATTCATAAACGATTAAATTGCAATAGATTTGACACCAATTAAATCATTAGATATTAAGTCTCTTATTGGAATGACTAGGATATTAACATTGTTTGTATTATTCCTGACATATGGCTACCAATGATCGAAAAAGTGGCCAGCCAACCGATAGTACCAAAAA